GAGGACGTTTCGAAAATGACAGCAAGACTTTTCAGATCGTATGGAATCCAAGTCGCCCACAAACCGATCGCCTGTCTAAGGGGACTTCTGTCAAAACCCAAGGAGAGAACAATGGAGAAGGACAAGAGCAGCGTCATCTACAAAATAAACTGCAAGAACTGTTCAAAACACTATATCGGACAAACTGGGAGAAAACTGTGAACACCAATCGGCAGTCAGGAGGCATGACCCACTATCGTTGATTTCCCACCACGAAGATCAAGAAGGACATCAATTTGACTTCGAATCAATGGGAATCATCGATCAAGCCCGGTAAAACACGCCAGAGAATTTCTCGAGGCCTGGCACTCTTCAACCAACTCAATGAACAGGCACATCGAACTGGATCACGTGCACACGTCAATGCAACTGAAGGACCAAATGACGCAACAAAGGTCATACCGTGACCTGAGAACGGACGGAAACCGCAATCGGGATGAAAGGACAACTTCCTCCCCTCCCACCCGCATCCGCTCGCAACAGTTCAACGGCGGACCGAGTCGAACACGGTGAGAACAGGGGACGAAAATAGCCGGTGGAGAAGAACGCATATATAAACGAACGGGTACAGGCAGAACACTGCCACTTCACAAGCACCTCGGCTGGTGATGAAACGTTTGCAAACAAATTGCCAAGCTCGGCGAACAGGCGAAATGGAATTCAGTTCACCCGAGCTACGAGAACCGATTTTCAATATTCTGTCAACGTTATGTTCGTGATCCTTGATCGAGTGTGCGTCATAGATACGAAGGAACTAACCCGGAGTTAATTGACCTCCGTCGGTCGGGTAAGGAAGCGAATCACGTCAAGATGGATCGATAAATCGGTCACCATGCCCAGAAGTCAATGTGAGCATGATTCATTGCATGAGTGGCATCAGTCCAAGCCCTCAATAACCTAATGAGTAAATTCCATTGAGGCCGAGTTTCTCTTGAATAAAACCGATGCCTTTGAGTCAACTACGATTGCTTACGTATTTCTGACATTGAAATACACACTTGAAAAGATACTTAGCATGCATCAGACGATGGGGCTGACTACTACAGTTAGTTTCTTCCCTCGAAACATTCGCTACTGGGATCAAAGATGATTCCTTTATCCGAAATGAAAATAAATGCGACTTTTGGTGATTACTTTGACTAAATTGGTTGATGTTTTTTTTCAAATTTGACTCACAGTTACTCGTGACTAGTGATGTGGGATAATTGGTTTTTATCGATTTGAGTTGATTATCCTTCGGACGTCACCTTCACGCACAATCCTCAGTTCATCGATTCAACCATACACTCGGAAGCACTAAACTCGAATTTAGCTCTTATTGATACTGATTACTGATAGCTTTTACCATTAGCACCCCAACGAAATGGAAAATGTTGGCCTGCCCAACCCAGTCTGCGGGTTTTGCATGGTTTTACCAATGCACGAGCTGCCTGCCTTGATTTGCCTTTAATCACCACGTGTCCTGGAAAACACTGCCAACCGAGGGCCTGCTTCTGTATGAAATTATCGAGAAACGTCAAATGTAAAACTAGCCTACTGTAATTGTAAATGTGTTCCAAATTCTACGAAATTTCTCAAGCACTCGGCATAGTGATTTCAACAGTGGTAGCACTTTCTGATTTATATCTCCCGCTCACAAACCGTTTAGAAATACAGCGCGATTGTTCCATCGTTTACCATCGTCTCGTCCCTCTCACCCGTGACCCTAAGTAAGTAAATTCCCTCTGACCCTTTCTGTGATCTTATTGGAGCATATTTCGCGATCTGCGGCGCTTAAAATCCCTCACCCCAACACGAGACTGTTTGATTATCGGCTTGTACGCTTTGAATGCTCTTGTTGTTACGTCCAGTCCATCCATGTGCTGATGGCACTCTTGCTGCACAGTCGAAGTTCACTGGGCCTGTCTGAGACTCACAGCAGGTGTGGTTTCTCGCTCGGGTTAGCTGGGCAAGCAACNCCGAATCCGATGCTGCCCAAGCGTTGGTAGAGAATCAACACAAGAGAATCAGTTGTGGAGCGGTGCGCCATGTGGGAAATTAGGAATGGAAAATGCTCAAGCGATGATGACACTGGGCTAACGCTTGACTCGTCTAAGATACACGCACTATTTTTCGAAGAGGGTTCGGTAAACAGATAATCGTAATCAAACTTTGAACTTGTCTTAATAACGGACAACAATATCCCCTATTGTAGCCCCACGCAAAACTCTTCTTGTTTTTTTCCCAACTGGTTGTTTTCGCGTTGCACAATCTCGCTAACGACGTCGGAGATAGAATTCCGAAAGAAAAAAAGAACGAATATTACGGAAAAATTATATTCGATGGATTCGCACTGCTGATGGAACCCAATCAGGTTGAAACGGGTGTACAATGCTTCCTGGTTTTTCAGTTTACACTTCATTTGCCCTAAACACGACGAATTTCCCCTTGAACTTTGATAAAACTTAGTAGTTCGGCCTTTCATTTCGGATGTCGTCTAGATTCTGAAAAATACTAATGACTGTGCATGTGGAGGCGGAGATAATCCAAAAATCCGAGGGAGAAGGGTGCATTACTTTTGTCAGTGGTGTATATGAGAGGAAAATGAATTAGTAAGACCGAGAGAAGCGATGTGTGTTGAAATCTGTTTTAGTACTAGAGATACAGTCGGCAGTACAAATTATTATTGGAGTACGTCTGCTACACAAGCTTCACTGCTCGTCGTTCCCATTCAACCGAAAGAACGAACCGGCTCCTGGGATTTCAACGGTTGCAACTGTTTTTAAAAACAAGTGGGTTTCTTAGGTCTACGACAAAGTGCGGTAATTGGAATGCGTTATGAAATGGCGTCGTTAGAATTACTGGGTTGTATTATTTAAGAACGCACTTTCAGTTATCAACATCATTTTACTGCGAAATACAATGAGGCGAACTTCACTGATCGCTGCCAAACTCGCAATGCATATGCATCGAGGTTTGATGGATGCATACTGCTAGGGTGTCCAGCCACTAAGCAGAACGATTAGGGTTCTCAACCAAAGCCTTTAGTTCTAACAAGAATCTGACCGCAAGGCAGCGGGTAAAGCGAAGTGGAGGCCCATTTACTTGGATCAATTACTCCTCCACCATTTTACCGACCGAAACGCAAATTCTAGTCAAACCTCCCACCTGGAGGACCAGGAAACTGGACTTCGTCCGACCTCTACCTCTCGACCTTTCAAGCACGATTAGATCTTAGGCTTGACAAAAGCCATCCTGTGTAGCTCATTGGGTCGCACAGGTGCACAAGCCATCACACCACGTTAAGGTGCAGTCTCGTTGTAGTATAGAGCACAATTTCTCCAATAACATCCATTCCAAATTTGGATCTAACCTTGTGATGCGTTTATAGGTTCAATACCTTCGATAGCCTCAGAATGGTCGGAGTGGGTGTCTTGGGTTGTGACTAGTCACCCTTCTCTTACACCTCATGAAATGCTCATATATGACCAATCGTCTTAAATAGCCTCTGTTGGCGAATTCCTTCTCACAGCCTTCTTGTGGCGGAGTTGTTTTCACACCAAATTGAGAGGACGACAAGCCAATATCCAGGGCTATAACCGGGTCGGTGAACGACCGGCAGTTCACCTAAGGGAGTTGGCTAAAAACCCTGATTCCAAACCAACCAAAAAGGGACGTACGAACCATGAACACACCTTCCTGGTTTTGGTAGTGGTTACCGGCTCACTTTGGCATCCAGGTGTGTTCCCAACCTTAGATGTTTGACCCCGTCCAGGGAAGTATGATCCAATGAACCGGAAACCGACCCGCTGCCTTTTAGGTCAGGCTTGGGCTAGTCAAAGGTTCCGGTTATGGATTCTTCAAGAAAATTCCCGTCTTGGGCTGGGTAACTTGGCACGAAAAACTCGTGGAACTTTCTCTTCTTTATTATTGTACTATTATCTGGTTGGCACACAGTTTGGATTCAGACGAGTATGAAATACAATCATTATAGCTTCAATAGACCTATCTAGCGATAGCATACTAGCGAGCAACATCTGGGTACTCTTATCGTGCGGATTACAACAAAATTGTCGCTGCCACGTGGTGAAACGGGTTATGGAGACCGCAGAAGAGAATTAAAAGTTAGCCGGATGCGAAAAGCATGTAATAATGGGACGTGGCGGTGCCCCAATCCGAGGTTCTACTAAGAGATTCTCACGAGCATCATTATTATTGCTGCTGACAAGTCAAGGTATCATATGATAAAATTGAATCAGACCAACAGGAACTAGTTTCAGCTTTGGTCTACCGATCAAAAAATGAAGACCAAGTAGAAATTACAGACTGAATTCTTGTTTCTGTGTCACTGGAATGTATGTATGTATGTATGTATGTATGTATGTCACAGAATGTATGAGCGATTTCGCATTGTGTTTTATCATGATGTCCAGGCATAATTGTAGGGGTTGGTAACCCAGCTATTAGGTTTCAATCGTCAAGTTCTCTTCACGCATATACAGAACCAGAATATACATACTCCAAAATACGAGCACGGGAAAGGTGTCGAACCGTTGTGCTATTGAACCAATGGTGGGAAAGTGTATCGAGAGGATGGGCCTGAAAAACGGCATTTGAAACAAAGAAAACAAATCGGTATCAACTCACATTGTCCGCCGCTAAGACCAAATCGTATAGTCCCAAGGTGGTTACACTGATACCGACTGCCGGTCCATTGACACAAGCAATTAGTGGTTTGGTGCAATCAATGAAAGAAGCCACAAATTCACGCAAAATATCCCGGCCTTCTCGAGCCACTTGCGCAATTGAGACACCCGATTGAATAGGCTTGAGAAACGTTGTCAAGTCGTTTCCACTTGAAAAATAATCTCCTGTACCTGGAATGTATGCGGCGAGAGACTTTATGATATGACATTCACCTAATTAGATGAAGTCTTGAGCGGTTATCAACTATTTCTTCTTGAAATAGAAATCCAGTGGGGTTGGAGGAGAAGAATACCCAATCGGAGGTACGACCAAACTGAGCTGCATTGAACCACATTAGAAAATCTCAATGTGCTTTCACGATTCAGTCACCGGTTGAAACCACCAATTATCAAATTTGCCGTCATAACTAGAACACACTTCACTGGGCTATGATATATCCAAGATTTACCACGAACAACAATCTAAGGTATTTCTCTCGTGTTGGATGGATTTTGTTTTCTCCATTACTATGGCGTGTGGCTTACAAGTTTGGCATAAACAACTCACTTCCCTATATACCAAATAAACCTAAGATAATAATAGGTTGTCGCATTGTTCCCTGCATTTGGGTGTACATTTTGCTCCAAGAAAGATCACTATCATTGACAACAGGCCTCTGGGTTGTACTGAATCACCAGTCACAGAGATGTGTTGAAACAAATGATAATATCATGAAGACAAACAACTATCTCTCAATATTCTATACGACCGCCTCTCTATGGAATCACTCCTTGAAATCATTGTACGCATCAGAAGCACTTAAACCACTGACCTGTTACGACCACCAATTTCACCTCGAAATCACTTGATGCGTAAGACAACTTTTCCGTCCACATACGATACATCTGAAATTAAGTGTTAGAGACGGGAATAAATTTAGCCAGAAGTTGAGAGCTGTCACGGAAAACCTTATGCGATGATCAACAACTTTCTTACAACCAGGGGGTGTATGCGATAAATTAATGATATCGTATTAGTAATGCAAGGACTCCTCTCTGAAAGAAGACAATAATCCAAAAAAGTTTTATTCATCATTCTTTTGGATCCACAAAAAAACTCATCAAATTCAGATTAGTGAACCAGTTAGAACAAACAGCACCAAATATGCGTGTCTTGCTTAATAAACACAAGTAAATTTCATTAACGGAGGTGTGTTGTGCATCAAATCCAAACTGTGTGCTAAACAAATCATATTACAATAATCTTTATGAAAATACAAAGTTCTAATAGAGGTAACCGATAGGAAAGCGTCAGTGAACACAAAGTGGCCACGTAATCATCTATGGCACATACTGGAATCAGTTATTGGGCATCCTTAAAAATATGTGAAGTGGCCATAATTTTGTTCATTTAAAACAATAATTGGACCGAAATCAAAATTCGAATCACCCATTCAACTCACAGAGGCATATGGCATCCACCAGTTAGCATGTAAGCTGACTGCCCCGACAGGTTTTCATCAGAATTCACCGGAGTCCACCGAATGAGCTTCTGAGATAAGGTTAATTGTTCAAATTGTACATGCTAACTGGTGGATGCTATGTGCCTCTGTAAGTTGGCTGGGTAAATTCGAATGTGAAAAGATCAGTGCTATTGGTGTGGCTTCGTAGCTCGGCTGGTAGAGCGTGCGCGTACAAAGCGTGGGCGGCGACCATGCGTGGGTTCGAATCCCACCGAGGCTACTAAACTTTTCACAATCGCCAAACAAGCTTCAAATATGCCAAACAACAATTTGAACGAAATCAAAATAACAGACATTCACAGTTACCGCATGAACAAACAACGAAAATCAATTGCCAGAGAGTGTGATTAGAGATACATCTATTTATTATACACCACTGTGCAATAAACAATAACAACGAGGGGTAATCACGAGGACCTGGTGTCCACTTATAATAGCCGTAAATCTAAAAACCTAGGACTAACAGCGGCCAAGTACGTAAGACTGCAGGTAAAAATAAAGGTTCACAAATAAAACAAACCACAGGACCACTCACACCAATATTAACTAGATAGGACTGAGCACACTGTGCAAGGTTCATCCACTCTTGGATGTGACAATGCCAGGTGAACAAACTCTTGAATTTACGAACATCCCTGGGATTAATTCCAAACAATCGACAGCGGTTTAGCACGAAGCTTTTACAGGTTCAGTATACAACAGCAACTGCGTTTATCATTTTTATTACACATCTTAGAGTTTTATATGGTAGAAAGATAGAACCCCATATAACCTGCCTTCAGAAATGACAAAGCAAGCTCTGGAAGTTGGAATGTCAAACTACATAGAAATCCATTAGGATAACTATGATATCAGATTGGATCAAAAGGGGAACACCCTACCACGAATGTTAGGTGACTGTGATAGGGTTCGAATTTCAAACTACCACTAGGACACAAACAATGTGATGTAAATGCGGAAAGAAGTAACCGCGAATAACTTAGATAAAATGCATCCATCGTACCGCAATTAAGTTGTTTAGTCAGAATTTCGGAAGGGTAATTACCTTCGGGGTGATGGCATTCTTTTTTTCCGGACGGTTTAAACGCAATGTTAGGACACCACGATCAAGAAAACAATCAAGACCGTCACCGGATTCAGTGATGGGTACAGAATCGCTTTTTGGCACATCCGATTCATTTGCCACAAGGTCTGAAATCAACTTAACATATTGACTTTGAGCTTCTTCCTGAAAATGCGAAGGAACACCTTTAGCACACCTTTAGCATACTGCATATGAATGAATGAAAAACAATATAAAGTACACAGCACCTATACTCTAAGGAGAAATAGAGGGGTTTATTTCATTAGAAATCCTGTTACTTTATGTCGCAAGATTCACGTTTTAGGTACTGAGAATTTCAGTACTAGAGTCAAACATCCTGCAGACTGATGATGACGCAGCTGTCTAAGTTGTGAACTTCGAGGCCCATGGCCGCCAATTTGTTTGGAAGTGCANCGAATTTTAGTGATTAATTATTTGACTGCCACTGCCGAACACTGGATTATCGTAACTCTGAAGCTCGCCTTTTTGTTCCTCAAGACATAAATATGTTATCTTAAAATGTCAACAGCAAAGAGGTCAAGAGGGCATTTCAATCCACTTCTACGTGACACCCTTTATATCCATATACGGAAAAAGAGTTCCTCGCCCCTAAGACAAAATCGACGCAATAGGCATCATAGATTGACATCAAACTGCAACCCATCGAAACCTCGTGGTATCCGTTCAGGATTTACAAGCATCGCAGCCTAATATTTTGTATCACTATTATCCCTGCGTTCATCAATCTTGCTCACTCTCAGTCACAGCAGTGATAACTTTCTAGATGTAAACGTGAGCCAGTTTATCATTTTTCGATGCATTGTTCAGGCTCTTGGGGTTCGGGAAACCCCTCTACTTTGCTTCGTAGCCATGAAGTGCCAAAGTATTTTGATCGGACTGAGATCCAGCGCGAAGGCTGACTAAGAGTGATGACTTATTGACGTCCGACACACGAGTGTCCTCAGCCGCTCATTGGATTGGGTCGGGCAAGATTCACCATATCTGACAACACCGGTAAAAGTTTGAACAATTACCAAGAAGTTGTATCAATCTTCATTTTGGAGGTAGGGTATTCTTCGCCCGTGTGTAAATGTATGCTGAAACTGATTGTGGGATCACTGTCTATCGTGAATGTTAACGGAAAACCGAAGTGATTTCTCCTAGTGCACACAGGAAACCGAATTTTTGGGACTCATGAAATAATTTCAAAAAAGTGTTTCATTACTTAGCCAGTTGTACAGAATATAAATGTCATTATTAGTCAATCGACGAGCATTCTGCTATTGAGTGCTCATAAATTACCAATTGCAGACTTCAGTTCGTTATTGAAAGAGCCTACAGAACAGTTGGTTTTGATCGTGTTTTATAAATGGATGACAGTATACATCTTTCACGCCAGGCAATTCGCATCACCTCTTGAGTGATTAAGCTCCACAGACTCAGTTAACTCAACTGCACTCAAAACGACATGATACAGAGACCCTGATAGTATAGTGCTAGCTTTTAATTACTACCACTTGCACAGGTTGGATAGACCTTAACACAAAACAAAAACTCCATGAAAGTGCTTCTTATTAACAAGCCAACCCATTCGGCTAAAATGAGATATCCCTCTCCAATTACCATGGCAAATGCTGATGATAGTGTTAATAAACCCAAATACCACAAATGATGAGTAATCTTCGAGAAGTATCAACTACGTGCTCATATAAACTCGAACATTTCATCTCACCAAAGAGTACAATAAGCGCAAAGAAGAAAATCACAACACAGAAGAAGACGGAGAGAAAATACTAAGCAGGTAGGCATTCTTTCGTGTTAAAATAATTCATGAGAGAATTGAGCCTCAGATGTTAATTTCCTCTTTCCTAAAACAATTGCTTGGTTTTCATGGTTTATCACTG